TATATATAGTACGCCCATGAACAAACACAACCACATATTGTTGCTGTCGAATGAAATTTTTTTCTACTTGAAGCTAAGACTAATCTCATACATACTGTTACGAGCGTGAGGTTTGTGACTATAAAAACTGCCGTTTGAATTACCAAAATTAACTCTTTCATTCACTTTACACTAATTAAAACTTAGAACACTAATAATTAACCACACTGATTCACTTTATTTCGCTCCGAAGCTACGCTTGTCTTGCCGAATTCAATACTTCCCCGCTAGCATCTTGCAGCGCCTTTAAATACACATTATCACCGAAACATCCAGAATATTCAAGTAAATACGCGCGCCAATCGATGCGCCGAAAGTTCGAGTGTCGGGTTTCTAGAAGCTTAGTTCTTCGTTTCAATACTAGATGGCGCTGTCGGTTGAAAGATTAGTGATGTCATTTTCTGGAAAGCTCCCCTCGATCTCGTCCCCGACACTAGATGGCGCTAGTGCCGGGTACATGACGTCAACTTAGGCGCGCAACAATACGTATACATAGAGAGAACCTACAACTAAATTGTGTCAATATACTTGTCTTGCTTTTTCTAATTTAATTTTCAAAAATAAGGCAAAAAAAGACAAATCTACTGAAAGATGTTGCGTGTAATTCATGCGTGTTATCCTATTGAGCGCCACGCCAAAACTTCATTACCGTATCCTGTACGCCAAAGCGAAAAGTAAACTAAAATACCTACGAAAAAAATAATGATGCCAAGAGTTGATATATCGATAACACAAAATAACCCGATTTTGTTAGTTTTTTATGCAATAAATGACTCTTTATAATCTGTTATGTTTTATTTAATCTTACTCTGTTTTCCACTCTTTTTATATGTACTTTGTAAATAAATAAAAAAGAAACAATAACAATAAAATGGTAGTAAACCACAGCACTACTCTCCATCGTGATGACGTCACTGTCATGACTGGACGACAACGGCGTAGCTGACCTTCCTTTTTGAAACTTTCTTAGAGATGTAGCCGTGTCGCACATTGTGTATCGATTTCGAAATCGATCTAACCAAAATATACAAAGATCGACTCGAAATATTTTATGTGTGGATATGGGGAGGCGTAGACCAAGTGAAGCACAGAAGAAAAGTCTTACGCTCTTATGACAATGGGGGTTTGATATGATGCTAATGATTTTGAGTTTGAGAACGAAAATCACACAACACAAAATGAAAAATTGCTCTTCATACTTTAAGTAAAAAAAAACATTTATTCTTGTCATTTTATATTATTAAAATAAAAAAATTCATTATCATGACGCTTTCCAAAATGCGAATAAGTTCTGAGGAATCGTTCATGTTGCACGGCACTACTTTTCCCGCTAATAACTTATGACGTCATCAGGTTGTCGTCTATCCTTGACCATGCCGCCCAGTGAACAGATTTTCGATGACGCGCTAAGGATGCGCCAGAGTTGAGATATTAGATTTATTAAGCGAAGATGATTTGATAACATTTCTTTATTCATGTAGCTAATTATAGTTTTATGTTTCTAACCTATAGTTTTATTCAAATGTCAATAATAATAGAAAAAAATTTTCAAGAAATCTATGCCTTCCGCGTTCGACACTAGCGTTCGACACTAACAATCAGACGACTTTGGCGTGCTGGACATAGTATTTGCTTAGATAAAAATCAATTTTTTTAGTCCAATGTTTCTTAGTACTTGTGGCTCTAGGAGATTTGTTTTTTATATTCAAATGTTGCTGGGTTATTCTTTTTTGAGGAGTGTAGAATTAAAATACCAGTAATAATTTTCCAATATTTATATTTCATATTTTTGTGGGCTGGGTTTTTGTCAACTGTAGACGTCGTTGGCGCTCAGGGACCGTAGGTGCTGGTCAATTATAGGTGACTTTGGCGCTCAAAATGTTAATAGAAATGTCAAGTGTTCATCGTTGAGGTCTTAATACTGTTACGAGCTTGAGGTTCGTGACAATAAAAATTGCCGATAGAATTACCTAAATTAACACTTTAATTTTCTTTACACCAATTAAAACTTAAAACACTAATAATTAATCACACTGATTCACTTCGCTTGTCTCGCCAAATTCAATACTTCCCCGATCGCATCTTGCAGTGCCTATAAATACAAATTAACATCGAAACATCCAGAATATTCAAGTAAACACGCGCAAGGGGCCGAGAGTTCGAGTGTCGACTTCTAGAAGCTTAATTCTTCGTTCCGAGACTAGATGGCGCTGTCGGTTGAAAGATTAATGATGTCATTTTCTGGAAAGCTCCCCTCGCTCTCGTCCCTGACACTAGATGGCGCTAGTGCCGTATACATGACGTCGACTTATTCGCGCAACACTGCCCCCTCCTAAGACATGCTCGTCCCGAGCATTATCGGCTCCATAATAACGCGCCAAGTGATCCATATGGACGATTTTAGGAGTCCCTCTTGCGCCTTTCTGTATCCGGTAGGTACATCGTTGATCCTGGTTACAATCCGATACAGGCCGTCTCATTTAGCTTGAAGCTTAGGAGATAATAAAAAACTAACAAAATCGGGTTATTTTGTGTTATCGATATATCAACTCTTGGCATCATTATTTTTTTCGTAGGTATTTTAGTTTACTTTTCGCTTTGGCGTACAGGATACGGTAATGAAGTTTTGGCGTGGCGCTCAATAGGATAACACGCATGAATTACACGCAACATCTTTCAGTAGATTTGTCTTTTTTTGCCTTATTTTTGAAAATTAAATTAGAAAAAGCAAGACAAGTATATTGACTCAATTTAGTTGTAGGTTCTCTCTATGTATACGTATTGTTGCGCGCCTAAGTTGACGTCATGTACCCGGCACTAGCGCCATCTAGTGTCGGGGACGAGATCGAGGGGAGCTTTCCAGAAAATGACATCACTAATCTTTCAACCGACAGCGCCATCTAGTATTGAAACGAAGAACTAAGCTTCTAGAAACCCGACACTCGAACTTTCGGCGCATCGATTGGCGCGCGTATTTACTTGAATATTCTGGATGTTTCGGTGATAATGTGTATTTAAAGGCGCTGCAAGATGCTAGCGGGGAAGTATTGAATTCGGCAAGACAAGCGTAGCTTCGGAGCGAAATAAAGTGAATCAGTGTGGTTAATTATTAGTGTTCTAAGTTTTAATTAGTGTAAAGTGAATGAAAGAGTTAATTTTGGTAATTCAAAGGAGACAATGAACAAATACTAGAAAGAATAAGAAATACCAGGACTACAAATATATAATAAGATGACTGTTCGATCCAGGTAAAGCCGAAGCTGGTCATTGATGTTTTTACCGTATCCTTTTCAGTCTAGTAGCTTGAAAACTTCTTCCAAAGTACCAGAGTTTCGGGAATATACCGTCACCCTGTCTTATATCTCTCTGCAGTTGAATAGATTTCATACTCTGCTTCCGTACTTATCCAGTCTGCGTGTGAGACCATTCGTAAATGCATCAATTATCAATTAATAGAATTGATATATTTGTTGCTGTTCTATATAAGTAGATTTCCAATTTTTCTAGCAAAACAGTTAGTTCTGGCTTGTATCCCTCTTTGGCCTTTTATGTGTGGGCTTAGTTTCTAGGCAAATAAAAGCGTCTTCACTCTTCTAAAAATGTATATATTCTACTTTTACAAAGATAGTTTAAAATTACAAGCACGAAGCCACAAAGATAAAAAGAAATGAATAAGAAAATACAACTAATTAGAAGTAAGGAGTGCTTGAGATAGGAAGCCGAGAATAAGTTAGTCGCGATTAAAAAAAAACCGTTATTCTGGCGGCGCGAGCGTGGGGTCTAGCGCTGAGGCCGTTTTAATGCAGACTGCCGGTAAAATCCGAAGGGGCCCGGACTGTCACGAAAGCAGATTTAACGGAGCCGAGCATTCCCGACCGCAACCGACACGAACCTCGCGTTAGCGCGTACGCCGTTACCTAAACATGCAAAAGAATGACAAAATTGCATGTCGCCACATATGAATAAGGGACCACGGGACGATATGAGGTAGTGGATATTCTTACACCGCAATCTGTACGGTATTATTCCGAAAATCCGGAACACTTTATTTTTTCTGTAAAAGAGCTTTAAGGGCACTTAAAACGTACATTTAGTAATTTTAGAATTGTACGTAACTGAACAAATAGTGACCTCGGTGATATATAGAATATTCATTAAAATCTGCTAGTACCTACGCGGCGTAAGAGGGTGCAGTACGTCCCGCTATCGTCATCGACTATCCGCGGGGTTAAGCTGTCGACACAATCTCCGAAAAACTTGCAATGTGACGACGCATCACCATATTGTGAAGAAAAAATCTATAATAACGAAGATCCCGAATGAAATGAAGATATGGATTAAAAGACAAGCACCCAGGCCAAAAGTATGCAGCTTTAATTGATTTCCGCTACAGTGAAAAAAGTATTTATTATCAATTTTTTGTTGAAATTGAACGAAGAACATTATGCTAAAAAACGCCATTGATTATATTATTTGTCACTTATAGTTACTAGTTACAATCAATATCAAAACACATAAGATGTTTTTAATTTAAGCATATAATTGACGTACACAAGTGCCAACACGACCGTCAACAAACAACAACTTCATCAAACTTCATTTTCAAGTTGTTGACGTTTTACAGCGTAGCAAGCGAATGAAGTGAAAGTGTCACGTCAGTAATCAGTTGTTTCGCAGTCATTAAAATTTTATTCTGAGTATTACCTGTTCGTCGCCTTTTGGTACCGAATCTTGACTTTGTTATAAGAAGTAAGTTTGTTGTCATCATTTTGTAATTTGTGAAGGCGTCGTTCCATACAAGATTTATGATTTAAAATATTTAATATGTGCCTCGTTTTAGGTTATCACCAGGAAAGATGGGTGTAAAACCTGTAATAGGAAGGAAAGCTAACAAGAACCCACCAATTTTCAGTCATGAATTTGTGATTCAAAATCATGCAGATATAGTTTCATGTGTCGTTATGGTTTTCTTAGTCGGTTTGTTGGTCCAGGTTAGTAACAAATTGGTGCCACGTAAGCCAAACATTGAATATACACTGTTTTACCTGTGCTTATTTTATGTGTTTTTATGGCTTTTCAGTCAACTAGTCCTATAGCCAGTTTATTTATCAGTCTACATCATAATGTCAGTGGAGTGGAACCAAGCTGGGATTCGCCTAAAGGGGAACTATTCTTTTATGAAGCTGGTTGGAAAGATGTTTGTGCTGTTTTCTTCTATTCACTTGTGTGCATTGTGATGCATGCTCTTTGGCAAGAGTACTTCTTAGACGTAAGTAAAACAAGTAACATTCTCTATACATATAATAATATTGTTAATAGAGTTTTTGTCTGTATGTGGATTTGTGCATACAAATCTTTACAGTGGCGAACTTATTTATTAGGCTGTGTTTTATTTAAATTTTAAATCTGTTGAAAAATATAAAAGATATGTCTGTTTTAATGAGCAAATGGTGCTTGCTTGTGAGAGGCATGTACAAGTTGGATGATAGTGCTGTTTGGCTGGTTTATCTATGTGCCTGAAGAGATAACACATTACTTGGCTGTATGTCAAAATAGTGTAATATCAAAATAAGAAAATTACATAATAGCTATGTTAATCCTTATCATTATCTTTTGTCCCGTTGTTTTTGTAAATATCTGCTCATCTTTAAGTTGAACCTACATATTTTTCATTTATTTGTATTTGTTCCGCTAGGTTTCTTACTAGTTCTTCCCACAACAGAGAACAGAGAAACCAGTGGGGTCATTCCATATCAAATCAACAGACTGATTCAGACTTGATATATCAGATTTTCATGATTTTTTATGGGATCCCATTGAGATCCCATGATAGAATTTCGCTGTAATTATTAAGACATTATAAACTATATTTGATAATTTTTTAAAATTTTTAAAATTGCCACTTTTAAAACAATTAAATTTTAAAATTGTAACCCTATCTTGTGGCATATCATATTAAAGCCCCATGCAACAGCTTTAAAATGAGACCACTCCCAGGTTTATATCATCATTAACCTTTTGAGCACCATGCCAAAAATGCATTACCATGTCCTGTACGCTAAAGCGAAAAGTAGACAAAAATACCTACGAAAAAATAGTGTTGCCAAGGGTTGATATATCGATAACACAAAATAACTTGATTTTGTTGGTTTTTTATGCAATAAATGACTTTATAATCTGGTATGTTTTATTTAATCTTGTGCTGTCTTCCACTCTTTTTATATTTGTACTTTGTGCATAAATAAAAAACAAAGAATAATGATAAAATAGTAAACCACAGCACTACTCTCCATTGTGATGCGTCACTCAGGACAATGGCATAGCTGACCGTCCTTTTTGGAACTTTCAGAGATGTAGCCGTGTTGCACGATATGTATCAATTTTGAAATCGATCTAACCAAAATATACAGAGATCGACTCAAAATATTTTATGTGTTAGGGGAGGCGTAAGCCAAGTGAAGCACAGAAGAAAAGTCTTACGCTCTTATGACAATAGGGGTTTGATATAATGCTGATGCTACCAAATGATTTTGAGATTAAGAAAGATAATCGCACAAATGAAATGAAAAATTGCTCTTCATACCTTAAGAAAAAAATAAACATTTATTATTTCTAAAAAGTAAAAAAGTAAAGTTACAGCCTATATACGTCCCACTGCTGGGCTCAGGCCTCCCCTCATTTCTGAGAGGGTTTAGGGCAAGGAAGTGCCCGCCGCGCTGCCCAAATGCGTGTTGACAAACTTCACATGTCTTCGAAATATTTTTTTTTCTTATTCCTCAGACGTGCAGGTTTCCTCACGATGTTTTCCTTCACCGCCGAGCACGTGGTAAATCAGCACTTAAAATTGCAATTAACAATTTCATTGGTGCCGGCGGGGATCGAACCCGGGTTACTCGCGTTCTGTTATATTTATAGCGAGCGTTAACCACTGAGCTACCACGGCTCTTTGTTTTATTTTATTATTTTTTATTTTTTGTTTGTTTTATTATTTGTAATTTTATATTATTAAAATAAAAAATTCATCATCATCGATGCTTTCCAAAATGCGTATGAGTTTTGAGGAATCATTTATGTTGCACTGCACTACTTTTTCCGCTATTCATTTATGACGTCATCAGGGTGTTGTCTATCCTTGACCACTGCATCAATGAACTGATAATCGATGACGCGCTAAGGATGTGCCATAGTTGAGATATTAGATTTATTTGCAAAGTTGATTTGATGAAATTTCCTTTTATTTATGTAGCTGATGATAGTTTTATGTGTCTTACCTTTTGTTTTATTCAAATATCAATAATAATTTAAAAAATAACATGTTTGTGTTTAATTTTGAATAGTTTCCAATAAATATATGCCTAACGCATTACAACACTAGCGGTCAAACATAGACGACTTTGGCATGCTGGACATAGTATTTGCTTAGATAAAAATCCATTGTTTTTACTGAAATGTTTCTTAGTACTTGTGGCTCTAGGAGACTTGTTTTTTATATTCACATGTTGCCGAGTTATTCTTTTTTGAGGAGTGTACAATTAAAATACCGGTAATAATTTTCCAATACCTAGATTTCATATTTTTTGTAGGCCGGGTTTTTTATCAACTATAGACGTCGTTGGCGCTCAGGGCCTGCAGGTACTGGTCAAGTATAGGCGACTTTAGCGCTCAGAAGGTTTATTGTCAGTCTATAGCATTCTAAGGTGCCAGAACACGAAATTTTTTCATAAAAATTTAAATCTTTAAAAATTAATAACACCAAAAATAATTATGCTACATAACTGATATTTACTATTTTTTCATAAGTCTATGATAATATTGCTGCATAAAAGAAATCATGAAAATCTGTATCTGATATTATCATTTCTGAAAATCTCCAAAAGTGTAATTGACAGAATGTCAAGTTCAGTAAAGAATAACTTTCAAATCTTTTCATAAAAGTATTCTTGTTATATATATTGAATGAAAATGATTCTATTCTATTTTATTAATAAACAAGTGGTAAAATTTTGTAAAACATCATCAATGTAGTCAAAGTCAGTTAAATACGCATTATTAAGGATAAATCAAAATCTTGATCAAATATATATAAGATTACATGAGAAGCACTAGCTTTCAAACAATAAAAGAATCATCAAAATCAGTTCAACTAGAAAAAAGTTCAGAGGTTAAAAAAAACGACGGGTTGCACTCCAGGAGTGCCGGGAGAAGTGAAAACTCGAATATTAACATTGTGCATTTTTGATATTTTGGAATGATTAGGGAATAATTTTGCACAAATTGCTTTAATTATCAGTATAAAAGTACTATCTTTTTGTGGTAGAATACAATATTTATTTATTGCGCTATCGTACACAAACATGACACTTTATATTATATTAAAAAGTTTATCTCTAAGAAAAATCAACTTCCATCCATAATACGAAACAGCAGGCGCAGGCATACATTTTCACCGCGCCGTAGAAAGAGAGGGGGATACTTCCTCCTACGCCGCGCCGGCTGGCTACTCTCCATACGTCTTACGAATTTTCGACCACGGTCACGTGTCCTAACGCGAGTTTAACATTTTTTACCCATTACAAAAAAGTGTAACAACGCCGCTAAAGAAGTTTTCACTACAAAAAATTGTCGAATTGAGAACCTCCTCCTTTTTTGAAGTCGGTTGAAAACCTGAATTTATTATTTAAATACCTTACCTATTAAATATGGTTTAATTATACTATTTACTTTGTACTTTATATAGTAGAATCCTCCATTTCATCCTGTGGATACTGGATATCTTAAGAGTTGACTATCGGATAAGCCAAAAATATCTTGTGGCTTTCGATAGATGGTGGTGTAACAATTTTTTTAAGCCAAGCTTAAAATACCTCAACTAGCAATGGGCAGCAGTGTCTCAGATGCAAGACCAATCCACCAAGTGTCAAGTGTGATGCAAAACCTCTACAATGGGAGGTGCTCATGATTGTACTTAATATGCAAGTTTCATTTGTATGATGTTATTGGGAGGACTTGAAAATGGTACTCGTTTGTATATATAAAGACTCGAACACAGCTAGTTTGTGATAAATATTGTAAATTACTTTATCTATATGTCTCCTTTTATAGAAAATATCAAAGAAGTTTCATCTGTCTAAATCAAGACTGAGTGCTCTCAATGAGTCTGGCCAATTGGTTTTATTTCACCTTGTGACATTTTTGTGGGGTGGAGATGCCATTCTTCGTGAAGGATTTATCTTCAATATTTCACGTTTGTGGGATGGTAAATATTTGAATAGCTATTTAACTCTCGATTTAAAAAGAGAAAGTATATTATTTATTTTTAATAAAACTTTTTTGTTGATAATCTTATAAAAATATAATAATAATATAGGAAATGATTAAACTTACATTATAATATGTTTAGAAAATTATATAACTCTGAAATTTTCTGTCATTTTTGTATAGAAAACGAGTCAACCATATATTTTGTAAAAAGTATTTAATTATATGTTGAGCAACTAAATAAATATTTAATATATATTTATTAATAATTATTGCTAAAGTTTGAATGTTGTTAATAGTTCTAAATATATAAATAAAACGTTTTAATTTCTCATACTTTTAGGTTATCCAAACCACACAATGAGCTTTCTGCTAAAACTATGGTGGGTAGTTCAAGCTGCATATTGGCTGCATACCATTCCTGAGTTGTACTTCCAAAGGATTAAGAAAGACGAGTGGGCTGGTCGCATAAAATATGCTACTGCTGCATTTGCATTTGTAGCTGTGGCCTATGTATTCAAGTAAGGATTGTTATTTATAATATTCTTAAAATTAAGTATATTATAACATCTAATGTATTGGAAGGTTTTTTCGACCTTATAAATAATTTCTATAATCTGCAATTGCTCAGTTTTATTTAACAAAAATAATTAAAGTACAAAATGAAAACAATTTTCGATAGGTAAGTTTTATAAATCATATAAAATGAAACATAACTAATTATTCTAATCTCCGTGACATAAAATTACATTTAACTCTTTGCATAACAATTTTGAGAAATAATTTTAAAGGTAAGATTTGGTGGACAGTACCTATGTTATAAATAATTTTGTCATACATTGTAGTTGTAACAGTCCTTCAATAAAACAATTATAATAAGGAATGTGTAGTATAAATAATGTGATCAATAATGAGAAAGCAGTATTAGTTTATTAAACATAGCATTGTTACCTTTGTTTCGTGCATTTATTTAATTTACTAATGTTTTAGGTTCCAGCGTGTAGGCGTCTGCCTCGTGGTTCTTCATTCACTGGCTGAATTTGTTGCCCACTGTTACCGTCTCAACACAATCTTGAGAGGAGAGCGTGAAGATTACTTAAGCAAATGTAAATTTATAAATAATATAAAGTTTTTATATAATTCTTAGAAAATAGGTCCTACAATGTATTATATTATTGGAACATTACAAAAATCGTTCATCGCGTGAGTGTCGTAAGAGGCAGCTATGGGAAATGCTAGTAAAATCTTATGCCTTCTATCTGTTAACCCAAGATCATTAACCTTAAATCGGAGTAACACTATAACTAACCATTCGATTCACAGACTACACAATGAAACGCAAATATTTTCAAAATCTTTGTTATTTATATTATAAAAGAAACAAAAACTTGAAAGTCCTTTCTTTAAGAAATCAAACAAAACGATGAAAAATAAACAATATTAATTCTTACAATTATTACAAATAGGAACTGTGTGCTCTCCGCAAATGGCCTTTTTGCAGTATGTACAACAATATTTTGTCATACGCCTTTTTTTTGCTGGGCAAAATCCACATATTTTTCTTGTTTTATGTAGCTCTTGCACACAGCTTTCTTGTGGTACTTCAATGTTGAGAATATCTTCAATACTCTTTTTCACATCACACTGCAAATTCACCGTATTGTAGCGCTCGAGTAGCCAGGGTTTTATTAGTTCATCTGCCATTTGCAAGGCAAATTCTCTCCTCTTGAGCGGTTTCTTATGGTCTCGGATCATATTGTATACGTAAACAACATACGCGTTTATGATACTAATGTTTACAGTATCATAGAATAAGCATAGCGGCCATCTATTGGTTTTGCGACCAGTGCTCATGATAGAACACATTTGATCCACGGTATCTACAGCGCCCTTTGTTATAGAAATGAATAATTTCCGGCTTCTTGGTAACATCATTGACAGTGGGTTGATCATGGGTGGTTGATAAAAGGTAAACAATCTTGTTAGACTTGGGCTTGTATGAAACCATGGTCATCTCGTTATCGAAGCAAAATATTGAATCGTGCCCACTTGCCGTGCTCTAGAGTTTTTTATTTCCTGGGGTATTTCCCGTTTGTTGCTTTGCAATGTACCAACAATTGTCAATTTACATAACGGAGCCTGGAGCATATCGGAAGCAAGAGGAATGGATGTAAACCAATTGTCCATAGTTAAGTTTCGATTCGAACCATGTATGGGTTTGGTGATCTCCTTCACCAAATAGCTCGCCAGAGGTTCGGTTCCTGGATTAGTTCCCTTGCCTAAATATGGAATGGCATTGCGTACATATTTTGTGTTCGAGTCTGCCATCATAATAAGCTGTAAGCCAAATGAATACGGTCACCGTATTCATTTGGCTTATTGGGTATGTACATCCTAAATGGACAACGTCCTCTGAACCCAACAAGCTGTTCGTCGATAGTTATGTATGAACTGGGCTTATACCATTTTACACAGTTGCTTATGAATGCCTCCCAAAATTGTCTGAATAGAGCAAGCTTGTCAGAGGCCCTCTGCTCTGTTCTTGTTGTCTTGTCGTCAAACCTAAGGCATCTCAGTAAGAAATCAAACCTATCAGAACTCATGCACGCTTTAAAAGTAATTGCACTCTGTGGTTAAATAGTGTTCTAGTGGGCAAGTGGTTACTTTTTATAGCCTCTGATTGTATCAAGAGACCCAGTAAAGCTGTCACTTCGTTAGTGGAAGTATGCGAGTTGGTATACTTCTCCTGTTTGTATTTAGACTTCTTGATGTCAATCTCCGTGTTGGTATAAGTAACCATCTCATTGATCATTTCATGAGAAATGAACAGGAGAAATAATTCTCTGGGGTCTGTTATTTCTTTGGCTACACCTGCAGGTCCAGGTACTACGTGAATCACATTACGAGAAGATGTTCTTGCTCGTGGATTGCGAGGTCTAGTAGACCATTTATAACCGCTCTTTCCATAAAGGTGATTTTTATTGGAACGGATCACAAATGACGACTCAAGCTCCTGCGGCTCCTGCTGATGCTGGATGGACTCAGACCCCAACTGACCTGCATCGGATGTATTATCATCTGAATCTACAAATCTTCGCTTACGTGAGCGCCTGCTGACGAAAATCTCCTCATCAGATGACATCGAACCTTCTTCCTCACTTTCATCAGTTCCTACGTGGGCATCTGCCACCATATTATCTTCGTTTTCGGATTCCGATAGTTCCTGCTTCGTGAGACTCGATGTCTGACTCACACAACCAACGTCGAATGCGCTCCTCATCTCCTCCAAATCCATCTAAAAATAAAATTGAAAATCAAAACAATATCGTAAAATGGTCCAAAAATATTCATAGTCTGCAAAATAAATTTTTCCTTTACTTTTATTCCACAAAATAATAGCACATTATTCCTATTTTACAATTAATAGGTAAAAAACCGAGTAGCGTAAAATATAATAAAAGTAATCTTGAAAATAGAAAAATATTATAACTAAAAATAATGTTACACAGTCACTAACCTTGCGTCTGTCAGACGACGCGACGGCTGTATGTCCTGTTCCAAAGCGAATGCGACCGCCACAAGTGCACACGGGTCACTAACAGGACCAATCAGGAAGGTACTGAGCGTGGGAGGGAGTGCGGGTGCCGCGAACCTACCGAACTATGAAATGCGGTGGTATGCGTAGTCTGAGAGACGAATGGTTAGTGATCTAGGGTTAATACCCAGACTGGCAATATGCAACAGCATTAAAATTATAAGATGAATTGAAGTGCAATTGTCAATTTTTTTTATAGAATATGGGCGACTAGCACATAGTTCACCTGATGGAAAGTGGATGCTGTGGCCCATAGACGTCTATAATTATCCTCCATTAAGAACCAAAATGCAGATGCGTTGTCAACCTTGAGGACTAAGATGAAATGCCCTCATTGAGCCAAACCATTCATGCTACAACTTTAATATAGCTGCAGCGTGGCTTTACCACATACAAAAATCTTCCTGCCAAGCTAGACGATTTAAGAAAATCTCGACTTGTACAATGGCAATGGGCTGTGTTTATTACTAGACCACTTTGATAATAACCTGCAAAGGGTTGATGATGATGATGATTTATAAATGTTGTTTTGCTCACGAACAAGTGGTAAAATAAAAGAAAATCATTCATTTTCATCATCAATGTAGTTGAAGTCAATTAAATATGCATTAGTAAGCATAATTCAAAAACTACATGATAAAATTTAATGGGACCACATGAGATGCACCAGTTGTCAAATAAAAACGAATCGTTAAAGTCGGTTCACTTAGAGTAAAGTTCTGAGGTAACACATAAAAAAAAAACAGTCTAATTGAGTCAGTCCACCTAATGCTAAATGCATGCTGTGGCCAGTAGACATGTATATCTATCGTTGATTGCCATCAAATTGTAGGTGTGTTACCCCTGAGAAATCATATACAATGCCACATACCGTTTAAATGGGGTCTCCAGTCTATCATCAGTAACAGGAGCATCAAGCTGCTATTTTACTGCAATCATAATGAAGCTGCGGCACAGCTCTATCACATTCATCATTCTAATTAATCACAAATAATTTCCTAAAGCTACATATTTGGTGCATGTAAAGTATGAATGTTGAATTTTTACTTTTGAGGTTAATTGAGCATAAAAAGTTTTCCTTGGAAGTGTTAAAGGGTTTCCAATAAAAGTTTATTGGATTTTTGTACACTTTTATGCTATTGTAATATGCATAACAAAGTGTATATGCATATTTGGCACAGTTATAATATTTTATTTATTCAAATTTTGTAGTTTATATGAGCTCTTAATTATGTATGTATTTCTTTTTCAGTTTTAAGTCTTGTCAATGGCACAGTGTTTGTCATTGTACGGTTATGCTCATTGGTGCTTGGTGTACTCACTTTCTACTATGGACTAGCAGGGGCCGCTCCATTGTTGTTGCGTGTTGGAGCCCTTTCAGTATTGGTGTCATTCCAAGTAAGATGTTATAAATAAAATTCTAATGACTCTTATATTATTGAATATGGTATTTCTTTTCTGTTGTTTATATATACCAGTAAAGTTTATTTCCATATATAATATTTTGCATTTTTAATGATTAGTACAGGAATATTTAATAAAAATAAAAGCTATGTAAAATGAGATATTTCAAATGTTTGTATTACCTTTGCAGGTCTTCTTGATGTTCAATTTTATAACTGAGGCAATTAAACAAAGGCAAGAAGCTCGTCAGCTAGCTTTGGCAAAGCCAAAGAAGGAAAAAAAAGAAAAACCTAAGAAAGAAAAAGGTAATTTTATTTAATATAGTCTAAATGTTTTTATGTATGGATTGCAAGAGATAATAGCTAATCATGAGTGTGGTAGCTACAAATTCTGTATACAGTCATCAGTCGGTCATTATATTATAATGATTTGATCGAAAATAAAGTAAATAAGGAAAAAAATTATCTGTCCTGAAATTTGCGTTTCATATTATAAAAAAAAAGAATTAAAAAATATTTTTGTAATGCAATATATTTATTACTAGCATTCACTGGTTGCCGCAGATCTGCACAGTGTTCTAGAATGTGTAACAAATGTGATCATATTTTACCTTAAACTATTACCTATTTTTAGTTTTCTAAACGTTCATTTTGTTCTTGTATATTTTATAATTATTTGGAGTACTGTATTAATCTAATTACATTATTTATAGTTAAAAAGGCACAAAATGATGATTCCGACTTACCGGAAGTGGATCAGAACACCAACAAGACTTTAAGACAGCGACAAGCAGCAGCAAAGGCAAAGTGAAGACGCACAACCTCTTTCTCACTATAAGAAAATCACTAGGTTGTTCCCGATTTTAGGGTTTTACACATGTCTTGTTTTATTAATAATATTTTTAAAAACTAAAGCACAAAATTGCAAGTTATTAAAAAGTACTTCCATATAATTTAAGCTATAAATAGTCACAACTTCTACTTAAGTAAAATTCCAACTATATTTTTTATTATTTTTACCGAAATTATAAATATAAAAAAGAACCGGTGCATTTCATGACATTATTATATGTTATTTATTATTAACACTAATATGTATATGTGATTGTGACGTCAAACTATTTTATTGAACCTGCATTGTCTAGATAGTGAAACACAATATTGTCATAAAGTATAGTGGATGGACAGGGTTGTAAAAATATCTCTTAAAGTGTAAAAACTAAAAGTCTAGGTTAAAATGTTGTTTATATGAATATAATATTGTAAGAATTATACTGTGGCGTGTTATGTACACATAAAAATGAGAATTCCATTTAATTATTTTGCATTTTTAATTTAAAGAAGATTTATTTAATTGTTTATTGTGTATTCCAAATTTAAATTATTTATATGTACATTATGTTTACTCTTCTTAAGCCATTCATTTTATTTTTAGTAATTACGACGAAAATTGAAGAGTTGTTACTTATTTTGGTGCTTTTATTGTCTCTTATGCAAATTGATATTGTTTTAAAAATATTTTTGGATACTTGCTCTGACTGAATTTAATGGGGATGATTTCATACCTAGTGTAACATTTTCGTTAATTGAAACAAAAAAAGCGAACGAGTTAGTGATTGTTGTTAGAATTGTATGTGAATTAAATATGGCATGAAATTACTCTACCTTAATGAAATTATGCTCGTAACTTATTATATAATTTCCATAAAATGTCAATTTTAAAAGCTTGATGTTATTTTTATTTCGAAATAAATTTTGTAAGAATTTAATTTTGAATATTTTTATTTGTTATAATCTTACTACATGTCGCGTGGGTGAGACAGTCGAGTAAGGAAAAAGAAAACGTTAGCATTCTGTATTAGTGGCATATTTAAGTAGATTGCAGGTTGCGAGCCCTGACTCAGATGAAGCTGTAAGAGTCGCGTAGACTTACGGCCTGGCCACGGGGATCGGCGAAGCGACAGGCGGGGCGATAATTCGCGCGGCGCGATTTGAGGGCCACGGACAGTCGGGTTTTCCGCCGCGACCAGATAGGCCGAGAGTGAAATGTCTTCAAAGTTATCTCGATATTGCTTAGAAGGTAATAGTTTTTTGATTCAAGACATAGTATTTGGAAGAGATTGCGGAGTACATGATTTGAAAAGGAATCGGGTTATAGATGGAGAATTCCACAACAAATAGAATGCATCTAGAAAAAAATTTCGAGTAAATACCAAAATGAGTGTCGAAACCTGCGATTATATTCTTGTTAATATTCAACCAGAATTGGAGATAAAAGTCAATGCGGATAGAATTTTAAGTTGTTTTTGTCGGCCCGGCATTTTTCGCAGCGAAAACAACTAAAATATTTTGTTCCCTATACTATTCGCCGGTTTTCGCCGCGTCTGCCGCCCGACTCCGTGGCTTGCACCGTACTGATTCATACATTTGTTTCAGTCGCCCGCCGCGACGCCAGTCGCCCGTGCGATTCGCCCGGTAAATTTCGCCGTTCGCGTCGCCACTCGCCGCTACACGTGGCTTGATCCATACATTTCTATACATTTGTTTTAGTCGTTAAACGCCACGCCGTTCGCGCCTCGCGAATTTTCGCTATGGCGAATATCCCGTGGCCAGGCTGTAACAGCGAAAACATCTCGAAAATAGACAGTCCACATATAGTTAATCTCGTATACAAAATTCTCGAGGTCTATATTCCCGGAATCGAACCCGGAACCTTATAGCTCTATCATTTTCTGGTTCCTTCTCTCCGGACACGAAGGGCAACATTGTCACCCTAACCATTAAGTGACCATCCGTTTCCGGATTCGAACCCAGGAAATATTAGCGCACCATTTTCTGATCATTCGCCCCGGATTTAAAATTATCACCCTACCACTCCACCACAGGGTTTTTTGGTATGAAACATATCTTGCGATGTCGTCAGTGAATTGTGGTGAGGTTTGGTTAAAATAAGATTGGGTTATTTTTCCGCTAATTTCGCCACGATTGCCCACTGACCATTCATCGTGCTTATTTGTTTGCTATAGGCGTACGTTATTATCGGTGTGCCAGATTACAGGAAACTAATAATTATTTTATAATTAACAGAATGACAAACAAACATACAGTCCACCTGATTATGTAAGTCATTACTGCACTCCGTAGTCCTGCGTTGTCACCTCTGAGCTCTGAGGACTAAGATGAAATGCAATCACATGCGACGTGTTGTTCTGCCAAATATTAATTAGATTACTTCAAAGAGTATAGTAAGTATATACAGGAAGACTACTCTTAACCACTACAATTTACAGTAAATATTAATTTTACACTACGAGTATACGAGTACCTCAAACCGACAAAAGAAGAGAAAATTGGGTATATTATCATTTTTTTTCAATCATTAAAATTATTCTAAACGTAATGGTAAACCGTGGTAGCTGGTTAGTGCTCGCTGTAAATTTCACAGTATGCGAGCAACCCGGGTTCGATCCCTGCCGGCACCAATGAAATTGTTAATTGCAATTTTAATAATAAAAATAATATAAAGTAATAACTGAATAAAAGTGAATATAAAATTGTCTTGTGCCTAATAATACAAACGTGTCACATAAGTGAACTAACGTAACTTAATTTGTAATATTGGTTATTTTTTATTTTATATACGGTAATAAAAATATTAAAATAATTGAATCGTGAAGCATCTGATGAATAATTTTAATTTAATCGTATATTAAATACAAAACATTTAATGCGTAACTTTTTTTTAAACATAATAGTTAAAACATCTCAAAGTAATGAAGTGTATTGTAGAATTAAAAATCACACTGTTAGGGCCTTTTCACATGTATCACGGCGCGGTCGCCGTGCCGTGCAACCGTGCTAGCTCTTTCTCATGTATACGGTTTACACACGGTCGCCGGCTATGGTAGTCGCAGTATTATCGAGAATTTTGGGGAACGACAACGTCTTTTATCATGGAAAAAAAAAATAGCCTTACTCCTATTGTATCGACGTCGTCAGCTTCGACTTCGTTACATACGTCAGAGAATATATTGGATACATCCGTACAATACTTTGAGAAAGGAAAAGGGAGATTTTTACACAAAGTTTATAGATCTTCGAGAACATGAGGATAAATTTTTCATCTATTTTCGGATGTCAAAGAGCTCATTTGATGAGTTACATTGTCGTCCAAAAGACACTCTGCAGCATCAAAACATCGTAAGGGACTGCATCGAGCCTGTTGAAATGTTGGCAGTTACTATTAGGTAAGTAAACAAACTAAGTAAAATATTAATACCCTTTAATTTTAATAAAAACTAGAAAACATGTTAATTGACAATTTGATATATCAGTTGGCAAAATCAATCTCAGAGAAGTCGGAGCCTGTGTAGGATGATTGAGAGTCGTTCGAAGACGGATTTTCGGAATAGAAGTACTCTACTACACTAATATTGACGTGTACTTGGTGATATCATATTTCCTTCTGTTTGTTTTTGTATTCCTTGAGGTTCATAGTAAATTCTAGATGGACCAGGTAACGGCGATTGAGATAGTGTCGGGCGGGATACTTGGGTAGTAAAAGATTGAAGTTGCGGTGCATTAAGACGACTTTGTTTAATGGTCGTTATTAGTTGTAATATTCCCATTTGGAATTTAATTATTTCGTCTTCATTGAATGATGACAATGAAGGTATTATTCCTTTAAAAAACACAAATGCCGGTCCTCCGGCTTCTCTAAAATATGTAACAATTTTTTGTCAATTTCATCTATCTTTCGTTTACGTGAACCGAGCTGTTGTTGAGGCGGTGGTGGTGATTTAAACTGGCTGCTACAATTGCTTTCCGTACTGTCTTCAACATTATTTCCTCTTGAAAGTTTTTCGACCCGATCGGTAGGTAGACTACTCTCTGTAGGATGTTCACAAAAAATTTTGTTTAAAAACTGTAATTGATCAAAATAAACGTATTTTCGTATAGTAGTAGCACCGGCTCCCGATTTTTTTTTACAGTCTTTTCTTTGTTTAATGATTTGTGATAAGAATCTCGGATATTTACCCATCGTTTCATTACTTCTTTACCTGGAAACAATATAAAAAAAATACAAATGCTATACAGCATCATTATAACATTGCTCTGATCCCATCCCTTAGCTAGCGGGTGTACTTTCACAGACCTACATCTTAACTACAGACTTGGCATTTCAATAGTAAGCAAGATAGTAAATGAAGTATGTTTTAGCATTTAGCGTGTTATGCTACCAGACTGCATGCCTACACCTAGTAAAGAGATGTGGGAAAAAATATCCGAAGAGTTCGAAAAAAGAGCCAATTTTCCGCATTGCATTGGTGCCGTGGATGGGAAACATATTAGAATTATTAATCCACTTGGCTCAATATACTACAACTACAAAGGATACTCCTCAATAGTTTTGATGGCCGTAGCAGACACAAACTACCGCTTTGTCTATGTGGACATAGGAAGTTACGGTAAAGATTGCGACTCTTCAATATTTAAGAGATCATCGCTGTGGAAATCAATCATAAGAAATGAACATGAACTACCTACTAAAAATGTATTAGCGGAATACAAGACGTTGAAGTGCCATATTTCCTAGTTGGTGACGAAGCATTTGCACTTCACCAACATTTACTTCGTCCGTACGGTGGATGTAATCTTGCAATTAAAAAAAGAATTTTTAACTACCGCCTAAGCAGAGCTCGCAGATATGTAGAATGCACCTTTGGCATCTTGTCTAATAAATGGAGAATATTCCACAGACCAATTAACGTCAAACCTGATTGGTGCAGTCGCGATCGTCAAAGCTTGCGT